CAATGCCACGTAGAATTAAGGCAGTTCTGAAGGCGAAAGGGGGTCAAACACCGTATTAGTATGGTGTTCCTAATAATCCTTTAGGTGAGTGTATACACACGTCTGCTACCAAGGTCCTAGGTGGACAGAGCCTCTTAGCTTGAAGAGTAAATTATGGCCTTTACCTGTCCTACAAACCCATAGTGATGCCATGGAAACAGCACAGCTCTGTATTAAAAAAATGTTTGTCTGAGCAATATATGAGCAATACTAGTTGAACAAGTGTAACCTCTAAATTCAAAGACAAACATTTCAACTGTCATATAGCCCCATTTCCAGTTATAAATAAAAAATCACAAGCTTCACAGCCAACAATAACAAAGCATTCCTCTACCTAGAAAGGGTGATGAAAGCAGGATTTCTTAAATGTTTTGTTCACAATCCCCTCCACTCAGACAAGTTACTCCTATATCTCAGAAATATTTTAGGTATTTGACTTGATATCTAGGTTTACTTTGGAGAAATCAACCACTAATTTTTCAGGCATAAAAGGCCATTTAAAATCAGTGCCTAAAAGATCTAAAAGAAATTTACTCCTTCAAGGTCAGAAATCAAGTTTTGCATACGATATGGACCAAACCATCTGTGAGACTTCTGAGTCAGTGAAATGGATGCTGTTGAACATCACCAAGAAATTTTCAGGGTTTTTAACTGATTAGACATTCGCTGTAACTAGATAGATGGACTAAAGGAACAAGAATATTACACGACACAGTATGATTTCATGTCTAATAAAATAACAACCAATCAAATGAACCACATAGTAAGCTAATCTGTTATTAATTAAGCTGATAGATTGATAGTTAGTTTAGATAGCACTTCTTGCACAGACAAATAACAAATCATATAAATCACCTAGTAAACTAGTTATTAAGCTGATAGACAGACAGACATACTTGCAGTCAGATAGATAGATAGATAGATAGATGGGTGGATAACATTTCTTACACATAATTTTTTATACCTGCTTCATAAACATTCACAGCCATTTTTCTACTCACCGTGCCCAGATGATGCCACGGCATCTATCAGGTAAATGGAGAAGGAAAAAAGTTAGACAAGCCTCCCCAAAGAAGATAATTGGCTGAGATAGAACATGTTCTACTAGGTACTAACACACATTTTGTATATAGGTTTTGAATGAAGGAAATGTGACAAAACAGCAGCCAAGGTCATTTATAACAAAAACATGTATCTTTTATAATTGACACCCAATTTAGATGACTTCTGCGTATAATTAATATGGTTTAGGGCTTGTAATTTTCTTTTGTGCTTGGACTACTTTTCCATCAATAACGCTTCTTTTATCATTCTGCGGAATATGACTTTCATTGTTAAACTGGACACAATTAAAATTGAACCACCGACCCGGGTCCATGATACGACACATGTATGTCAAGCATGGGTGTATGTTTCATAGATCAGGCACAGTCTTTTGTATTTTGTACTGCAAATGTATCTATCTATCTATCTATCTATCTATCTATCTATCTATCTGTCTGTCTGTCTGTCTGTCTCACTACCAATCATCAGCACATTACATATCTTACTTACTTTCTGGCTTAATCTTAAAATTACATGTAAAATTACTGTAAAAATCAAGTGAGGCAACTGTATTTCTTCCCCAAAAAATAACTTTAATCAAGTGAGCAAAGACCCTTCACAGTGCATGGCTGGACACCTCTGTGTTACGTTTTGCCAGCTGACAGCCACATGCTTCTTCTGTAAATAAACTAGCTTAGAAGCACTTACTGCAAGACTCCCACTGTGTTTGCTTTGCCATATAAAGTGGAAGCAGCATCATTCCATTTTAATTCAACAAATTTCAGAAGAAGTTTTTGCATCACCATTTTTGATTTAGATAAAATGTGGCATGGAAATTACATATACCATCCAGCTCAGAATTTTGGTTATGAAAGAAACATAGAGGGACCTGGTTTAACAAGTTGATTGATTTTTTTAACTGAAATACATATATATTTTTTTTTTCTGGGCTCTGAAAGAGCTCCTCCTTGTCTGCCTTTTGGATTTTGAATTGGCCCTAAGCATACCATTATTGATTCAGACAAACACATACACACATGAAGTGATGTAGCTCCAGGTTCCAGCACGATGCATCTTTCCAGCCAAGTGTTAAGTGCCTCCAAACTTATGAGGATTTAGCACATTTTCGCTACTATAGCAAGGCTTCCGAGCTGTATATCGCTGACTCTACATTACTGCTCCACACTAACTCCCTTTACGATGCCAGAAAGAACACATTTCAGTGAATGTGTACTAAGGTTCTTAAATCAGCTCTAAAATGCACTATATTATTGGTCTCAGTTATGAAGCATGTTATGGTTGAACCATAAATGTTAAAAAAAACTTATAGCCTATTGGGGTCAGTATGCAAGAATGCAAGGGTCAGTCACAAAATCTATATAATCTGCTTACTGCACACAAATAACAGGTTTTGCTGATATGCATACACGAAAACCGTAACTAATCTTAAGCTATACTAAATAAACTAAAGGACAATGCTATTGTAATGCTATTACAGCTAACAGCAAAATTGTTTTTATTTTAATTTTTCTTTTTCTGGAGTTGTATAAAAGAGAACAGTGGCTGGGAAATTTTCGAATGCAAAAACACCATCAATACACATCAATGATTGTGATACAGAGATCAAAGAGAAGAATCTCACAAATCTGAGAATGCATCACAAGGTTGAAATGTAACACAAACTTTTAAAGAGTGTCAAGTGCTGTGATATTAAAAGACAGATATGCAATGATATAAAAATAACCTTTAAAGAAAGGTAAATTAATCTATTTTCCATACCCTTATATCGTAGGGTCACAGTGAGCCAATGCCAGGAAGTGTAATCCAGGGGAAAAAATCCGTAAAAAGGATGCCATCACAGGGCATACACTCAGAACGAACAAGTTAGAGATTCCAAATCACCACTCTGTGGGAAATGACAGCAAACTCACATGCAGGGAGAATATACCATATCCATACACATTTATGCCTCAGGCTAGAGGGTACCACTGAAGAAGTTATAATCGAAATATGTATAAATAACACATTAAAGAGTAGTAAAAATTAGAATTAGAATTCTGAAAAAATGCAGGGGAAATAAGTTTAACTAAGTTAAGATAAAATTGACCATAGTTAATTTGTCTGTATCTCTCCTGTAATTATTTTTCCATGTGCAAGACTGCAGAGATGCTCAAGCCAACACCAGAAAGCAGAAAGATTGGGTGCTTTTGGCTAGTAGGAAGAAAATCACACGAGCATCAGGAAGACACGTAAAAGTCACACATGTATAGCCGTCACTGCACCACCTACACGCATAACCAAGTAAAGTGTGTGTGCGTGTGTGTGTGTGTGTGTGTGTATAAACACAATAAAATATATACAAAAATATACATACTGTTCAAAATAAAAACTAACACACACATACATACATTTTGAACACATGCACACAGACGTTTTTTGTTGTTTGTTTATTTAATTATGTTGGGCTGGGAATCAATTTTAAATTTGGCAGTCTCACTTGGTCTGCCACTATGCTTTCTGTTGACATTCACAAGTCTTTCATCTTAAATTTTTTTTAACAATATAGCCAACTGTGGAAGATGGGAGATTAAGCCTTTTGTTTCTGTCAAACAGAATTGCCTTCTTTGTGCAAACAAATGATGCAAGACCTTTTCCTATAACAAACTTCACTTTTTTGAACCATTTTTACAATTACTTTCAAGGATTTGCTCCAAGATAATCTATAGTGGGCGTACGAGTCAATTATGTTTAAGGACAGACAGGTGTTCTTCCACCGATGTAGTTCATCATCACATCTTCCATGGCATGTTCCACTAAACCACAAAACCAGAACAGATTTAAGAGTTCAAATGTTTTTTGTCTTCATTTTAAACAGTATGTCTACTGCTTTCCAATGTACAACCTAACTAATATTTTTTTCTTAAATGTGCTTAAGGTATTTATCTTTAACATAAATCCAATGTCGTCATATATGACCATTGGAATAAACGATTCACAACTTTCCTGCTGCATTTTTACATGCTAAGCAACACTCCTACAGAAAAGATGCAGTGATGCCATGTCAAAGGTCAATGATATATTTTATCCTGGATTGTTCATATAAAACCACCATCTTTCTGTCACAGATCAACCACAGGGACCCCCAGATGACATCATGAAGCCCATGCCGCCAGAAAAACCCCAATCGCTTTGACTCTCCTGAATACGGTGCCCACTCAGGTTACGTTTGGCTGCACCGGTATTTTCCAGTTTTGTGTAATTATATCCTCCCAGCTGATTCTAATTATTCTTATCAGTGGAGTCTATTTTAGTCAGACGCGAGATTTTCCTGATTCTTCTGGAGTTCGAATGGCTTCCTAGTTCTCTGTTCTGCCTGCCCACTTCCTGACCTTGCTTTTGTGTCTTCAGACCACGGGACCCATCTAGCCCTTCTTGCCAGATTACGCACATCGCCTGACCCTCTTCTGTCTACTGACTCTGGATTCAGTTTTTCCCTCCTACTGTCCGACACTCATTGCCTGACCCTTGCACGTCCCTTGACCATGGCTTAGTTTGTGATTTGGATCCTGTTTTGGCTTTTGCTGGTTTGGACTCAGACTGTGGATTATGGCTTTGTATTGCTCCCGAATAAACTCTGTTATTGTAACCTGTATCTGTGCAAGTGTCCTGCTTTGCCAGTCGTCATTCCAGACACTTTCCAACAGACCTGGCTTTTTTGGGGGTTGTCATGCTGGAGCTTCTAAAATATTTCTTCATTCTGAAGATTTTTCTTTCAAAAATTGATGAAAAGTTGATTTCAGGCCATTTTATCAGCAAATTAAATAATTGAAGACAAAAATATATAATTCTTAAGCATAAACAGATTTATCCAAGTCAGCAAAACATTTAATAGTTGCATGTAGTAATTGTATGCTATTGTTTGCAAACTTGCTTTTGATTGTGCATGTGTGAAAAAACAAAGGGCTTGCAGGAGTGTGGAAAAATCATTCTAAATGCGTGAGACTTGTGAAATGCATGAGACTTGGTAGGTCTGTAAAGCCCTGCAATACACATGAATGTTTCATTCCTCTGAAGGCACATAGCCACATAAGACAGAATGTTTAGTATTCAGCTAGTTTAATTAATATTTGGCATTATTTATTTGCTTGTTTACTTACTTAGGTAAAATTTGATGGATCTGGGGAATCTTAAAATAAAGTTTGAGGCCATTTGGTAGCAATACCAAACTGTAATCTACCCTACAAAGGCAAAATAAGTACACTGACACTGAAACTCACAAAAGAGGCTTCAAGGTTTTTTGACTTTCCACTCATATATGCAGTTCAGGTATTACGAGCTCCCAAATGACCTGTGTACACAGGTATGAACAGAGGTGTGAGCCCCTGCCCAGGAGTGTCATATGATCCCAAGTACACACTGGCCTGCTGCCTGTCCAATTACGTCAGCCAATAATAATGCAGGGGAGGGCAAAACCTCAGCATAGTGCTTCACCAAATGGAAAAGTGCTCTTTTATCACTATGATTAAACCTGCTAAATTATGACATTCGACAAACTCATCAGAGACATAAGTATACTTCCCATTTAGATTCTTGCAAACAATCAATTATTCATAAACTGAATGTTTTAATAGCACTTGCTGTAGGTCCTTGCAAAGCAGCTTTAATTGGGAAGAAATCAGAAGAGTGCCAAAGAGTGTGAGAGCTTTTAGCAAGAAAGCACAGCACATTATTTAATGACAAAATACCTAATAATTAAAAAGAGAACATTTACTGGGCTTTATGTGTTTGTTCTGATCAATTGTTGTACTAATGCAGTCAAATGAAAACACAATAATAGAGAATGAATATTGTGTGTAATAACCATAGCATGCTAGGCAAGAACAATGATGGCCTCTCAGGTGGGATGGAAAACACATTTAGGCCCACAGCAGGTGATTTGTGTAATGAAGCTGGGATGAGAGCTTTACATAAGTACTGAGCAT